GTACAGATGCTCCTCGACTTACAATGGGGTTACATCCCAGTAAACCCATCGTAAGTTGAAAATATCTGTTAAGTCGAAAATGCACTTAATATACCTACCCTACTGAACATCACTGTTTAGCTTAACCTAGTTTTAAATGTGCTCAGAACACTTACATTAGCCTACAGTTGGACAAATATCTCGAGTTTCATCTCAAGAATAATTGCCTTCCTCTTTTCATCAGAAGCAAGGGACACAGATGGGCATTTTGTATATGTGATGGCATGTGAAAACACCAAACACAATATCCCAAAACACGGGCAACACAGTAAGTACACTGTAGAGTACTGGTTGTTTACCCACGTGGTCACGGACTGCCTGGGGGCTGGGGCCCAGCGCTGCTGCCGCCCAGCATCATGAGCAAGTGTCATACTGCATATTGCTAGCCATGGAAGAGATCATAACTCGAAGTACAGTTTCTACTGAATGCATATCACTTTCACATTATCATAAAGCTGAAAAATCAAAAGTTGAACCATTGTAAGTTGGGGACCATCTGTGTTTTGATTATCAAAAGTTCTTAATTTTAGCCCTGGCTGGCGTAGCTCAGTGGATTGAGCGTGGGCTGGGAACCAAAGTGTCCCAGGTTCGATTCCCAGCCAGGGTACATGCCTGGGTTGCAGGCCACAGCCCCCAGCAACTGCACATTGATGTTTCTCTCTCTCTCTCTCTCTCTCTCTCTCTCTCTCCCTCCCTTCCCTCTCTAAAAATAAATAAATAAAATTAAAAAAAAACACATTTCCTTTAAAAAAAAGTTCTTAATTTTAACAATTTTATTTATTTCTTTTTTAGAGAGAGGGAAAGGGAGGGAGAAAGAGAGGGGAACATCAACGTGAGAGAGAAACATTGATCAGCTGCCTCTTGCAACACTGATTCTGTGACCGAGAATCGATCACAGAATGCCCAACCAACAGAGCCATGCCAGTCAGGGCCAGAAGTTCTTAATTCTAATATAGGCATACTTACCAACCCTTCAGTTTACGATTGTGCTTTTTATTTCTTGTGTAAAAGAATCACTCTCTACCCTCCTAGTCAGAAAAGTATTTTCTTACATATTCTTCAACAGATTTAAAATTTTGGGTCTTTATACTTAAGTCCTAAGTCTATCTTGAATTGATTTTTGTGCATGGTGTGTTATAAGAATCTATTTTTCATTTCAGTTTTTTATTTTATTTTATTTTTTTCATTTTTAATAGGGAAAATCAGTTTTCCCAGCCTCATTTATTAAAGTCCTTCCTTTCTGCCTGATCAGCGTTGCTAATTGTTTTGTATCAAAGTTCCTTATATACATGGATCGTTTTCTGTCAGCTTTTAAAAACCTGCACCAATAACACATTTTCTTAAATCCTATAGATTTAAAATAAATCTAGTTATCTCCTGGAGCAAACACCGCCTTGCCAGTCTACTCTTCTTCAGGAGTATTTTGTCTCTTCTTGGCCACTGCTCTACTTGAGAATCAACTTGTCAAGTTCAATAGGATTTTGGCTGGAGTTGCATTGAATCCAAAGTCCAACTCAAGACAAATTGACATCTTTTTTATATTGAAACTTCCTATCATGGACTTGGGATATCTCTTCGTTTATTTAGGTCTCTAATGCCTTTCAATGACATTTATAATTCTCCGCATACAGATAATGCACATCTCCTGTTTTATTTCTTTCTAGATACTTTATTGCTTTTCTGTTGGGGTAAAAGTTATTTTTTAAGATTACATTTCAAATTGTTTTTGCTGGCTTATAGAAGTGCAGTTGATTTGCAATACTGGTTTTAGAGCCAACCACCTTGATGGGCTCTCTTTTCTGTATAATAATTTATAGCAGGGGTGTCCAACCCGTGAACCACAGGCCACATGCAGCCCAACACAAAATCATGAATTAAAACATTATGAATTTGCCCTGCTGGCGTAGCTCAGTGGATTGAGCGCGGGCTGCGAACCAAAGTGTCGCAGGTTCGATTCCCAGTCAGGGTACATGCGTGGGTTGCAGGCCATGAACCCCAGCGACTGCACATTGATGTTTCTCTCTCTCTCTCGCCTCCCTTCCCTCTCTAAAGATAAATAAATAAAATAAAAAAAAATTATGAATTTTTTTTGTGATTACATGTTGCAATGTATTTAATGTGTGGCCCAAGACAACTCTTCTTCCAGTGTGGCTCAGAGACGCCAAAGGTTGGATACCCCTGCTCTATTAGACTTTTTGAATTACAGTCATATTATCTGCAAATGCTGGCAGTTTGCTTTTTCCTCTCCAATATTGTGGCTTTAATTTATTTTTCTTGTGCTGGCTAGCACTTTTAGTACAATGTGAATGCAAGCTGTGATAGCTGGCATCTTTCTTTTGGTTCTGGCTTTAAAGAAAACACTTCCATTGTTTTCCCAATAACAGTGGTATTTGTTGTAGTTTTTTCAAATAACTTCTATCAAGTTAAGGAAGATCCCTTTTATTCCTAGTTTGCTAAGAGTTTTCATTGAAGTAGATGCCTTTTTAAAAATATTTTATTTATTTATTTAGAGAGGGAAGGGAGGGAGAAAGAAATAGAGAGAGAAACATCAATGTGTGGTTGCTGGGGGCTGTGGCCTGCAACCCAGAAATGTGCCCTGACTGGGAATTGAACCTGTGATGCTTTGGTTCGCAGCCCACACTCAGTCCACTGAGCTATGCCAGCCAGGGCTGAAGTAGATGCTTTTTAAAAATGTATTGTTACTGTGAAATACAACATATAAAGATAGGTGCAACAAGACATAAACATAAACCATGGAATACTGCTTGGACCGGTGTGGCTCAGTGGGTCTGGTATTATCTCATAAACTGAAAGGTCCCCGGTGGAAGGCATGTGAGAGGCAACCACACATTTATGTTTCTCTCCCTCTCGTTTTCTCCCCCTTCCCCACTGTCTAGAAATAAATAAATAAAATCTTTAAAAAAAACTTTTAATCTGTGAACATGGTAATATCTCTCCTTTTATGTTAGGCCTCCAGTGTCTCACAGTAAATTATAATTGGTACATACAGGTCTTACACATATTTTGTTAAATTTATACTTTAGTATTTGATATTTTTCATACTACTACAAGTAGTAACTTAATTTTTTTTAATTTATTGATTTGAGAGACAGTAATTTGTTGTTTCATGTATTTATGCATTCATTGGTTGATTCTTATACTCATTTGTGCCCTGACCAGGGAGTCAGAACTGCAACCTTGGCCCTGGCTGGTATGGCCCAGTGGATTGGGCGCCAGCCTGTGTGCTCGAAAGGTCACCGGTTTGATTCTCAGTCAGAACACATGCCTGGGTTGCAGGCTGGCTTGGGGGCATGTGAGAGGCAACCATGGATGTTTCTCTCCCTATCCCTTCTCTCTAAAAGTAAACAAAGAAAATCTTTTTAAAAAAGAAAGGAAGAAACTGCAACTTTGGCATATTGGGACAATGCTCTAACAAACTGAATCTATGTAATCTTAATTAGGGGCATATAGGTGCAATGCCAAGGCTGCAATAAGTAACTTTTAAAATTATTCATCATCTGATTATTTGTTGTTCATATATATATAATTGATTTTGTATGTTTTTTGTCAAGCATCCTTGTTAAAGTCACTCTAATTATTTGTAGGTTCTTTTGTTCTTTCTACATTTGCTATCACATTCTCACACTTTTTGTAGATGGTGACAGCTTTGTTTCCCTTTTTACGTAATTCTTTAAGTCCCCCCCTCCCTTGTCTAACTGCTGTGGCTTGTATCCCCATTACAAGACTGAATAGAATTGGTGATGCCAGGCATTCCTTTATCAGATTAACAAATTCTTTTACTTTTCTAAAAGATTTTTTAAATCACAAATGGATGTTGATTTCAGCATGTGCTTTTCCTATATTTATTGATTTGACTGTATGATTCATTCCTTTAATCTATTAATATGATGAATAAAGTGATGTATTTTATAATATCAATCTCCCCTTGAATTCTTGGCATAAATTCAAGTTAGCCTTGGATTTTGATATTTTTTGCACATTGCTGGCTTCAGTTTGCTAATGTTTTATTGAAGATCTTTGTATCTTTGTTAATAAGTGAGACTGGCCTGAAATTTTCCTTTTTAATATTGCCCTTTTCTGGTTAGGTTATCAAAGTAATTCTGGCCCCATGGAATGAGTTGAGGGGTGTCCTTTCTTTTCCTGTTTTCTGGAAAAGTTCACATAAGAATAAAATTATCTCATTCTTAATGCTTTCTCTTTCTTTCACACCTCACATCTAATCCATTTGCAAAATTCTGTCCACTCTAGCTTTTTTAAAAATATATTTTATTTATTTTTTAGAGAGAGGGGAAGGGAGGGAAAGAAACATTGATCAGTTGCCTCTCACGTGCCCCCTACTGGGGACCAGGCCCACAAACATTCCCAGGCATGTGCCCTAACTGGGAACCGAACCAGCGACCTTTCAGTTCGCAGGCTGGAACTCAATCCACAGAGCCATACCAGCCAAGGTTGTTCACTTTAGCTCTAAATTAAATATACAACACAACTATTTCTCACCTCCACAATGATCACTTCTGTCTAAGCCACAACCATTTCTTGCCTAGATACAGTAGCCTCCTAATTGGACTTGTTGCTTCTGTTCATGCATCCATCCTGACATTTTAAACACAACCACCAGCTATCTGCCTGAGACCAGAGGTTCCCTCTGCATTTAGAGTTTAGCGCTGGGCAACAATAAAGTTTTATTGAAACAAAGCAGAAAAAATGTTCCCGTCAGTCTTTCCTCAACAGCCAATCAGAGAGTAGAATGCTTAAGTCGCTCACAGAAACTTCAGGGGTTGGAAGGCGGGAGCAGGGACACGTCCCGCTCCCAAACCTTCTAGTAAGAGCGGAAGTACAGCCGGAAGCCAACCATAGAGTTTAGCGGCCAGAGAGACCCTGCGGGGAGGTGGCAGGAAAGACTAGAAACAGCTGCCGGAGGTGACGGAGTGGCGGCCCCGCCTGGGTCTCTGGAAGACGAAGCTTGCAGGTAGCAGCCCTCAGAGTCTAATCCTGGGTACAACGCAACAGTCTGCGGGAGCCCCCAGTCTCTGGGCGGCCTCTTTAAGGGAGGAGGCGGAGCCACGGGGAAGGATCGTGAGGGTGAGGTCACATGGTTGGGGGCACTTGCCGGGCACCAGTGGAGATTTGAAGAAGCGTTGTCGTTGGGGTAGACACCATGTGACACCCCTCCCCCTACTGCATTCTATGTCTTGGGGTTCACTGGGGTGCACGTCATGGGGCTTGGGATTAGGCCCAGGGGAGGGGGGAACTGGGCGTGGCAACCAAAGTCTCAGCCAGGCATCTTTTGGAGTTTTAGACCGCTTCATCGCTGATTGCCCATTGCAGTAGTCACTGTGCCTCTGCAGTCAGCCTTAGCCCTTGTGCTTCTCATCCTCCCAGTGTCCAGGGACCTCCACCTTCACATCCTCTTTCCTTGCAGCTCCAGGCATCCTGAGCCCAGGTCCCCCCAGCTCAGTGCAGCCATGAGTGCCGAGGTGAAGGTGACAGGGCAGAACCAAGAGCAATTTCTGCTCCTGGCCAAGTCGGCCAAGGGGGCAGCGCTGGCCACACTCATCCACCAGGTGCTGGAGGCCCCTGGTGTCTACGTGTTTGGGGAACTGCTGGATATGCCTAATGTTAGAGAGGTGGGTTCCTGGCCTGGATGGCCCACAGGGAATCTTGGGGCTAACGTTTGAATTTGAGAAGGGGTGGGCAGGGCTCATTTTGCAACCCATAACCGTTCAGTTGAACAAGAATAGGATGATGATTAACTGGCACCTGGCAAGAGTGAGTATATAAGTAAACCTCTTAGTTTCCTGTAGAGGATGGATGATCTGTAAAACTCAGTATTTTTCATTTGTAAACAAAAGAACAATGTGATTTAGAATAGGAGACCTGATTCCAGCCCATCTCCATCAGTGTAATAATAACTCTTAATAATCATATCACCTTGATCAGGTCACTTTTATTTTAGGTTTTCAGTTTTCTTTTATGAAAATGGAGCTGATTTTGCTCCTCACCATTACTATAGAAATCAGGTGAGATTATGGGGAAGTGTAAAGTCTGGTACAAATGGAAGGAATGAACATGAAATTGGCATGCTCTGTTTTCCCCCCTTTGCACTATATGCTAATTGATTTCAGTTCAATCATTTAGAGGGTGCTAGGAACACAGCAGAGAAAACTGTTCCCACAAAAGTGGTAGAGTTAAGAGTTTACAGCCCAGAGTGGATAGGTTGCGGAGATGTATGGCACCAGCCCACATCTTGAGAACTGCCATAGTTATAGGTGGGCAAGCTGTAAGTTAAGTTATTGAGGGCCAGTGATTGAGTCAGTGGATTTAGTCTTTTGGGATTACTCTGTGGTGTGGAGAAAACTGTGGCTGACTTCTTTCCCTGCTTTCCTCTGCAGTGGAACCAAAGAGTCAATCCAGATAAAAAAAAAGAAAAAGTATTTATTGGGTGCCTATTTGGCACTCTGCTAGTTGTCTGGGAATGCCAGAAAAGCAAAAGACAACTGTGCTTACCCTAATGAAGTTTACATTTCAGTTACAGAAATCAGATGATGGCTATACACTTACAGATCATTTATTTAGCAAGTATTTATTGAGAGAGACACCTACATACTTAGCTCTATTTGACCTAAGAAGGATACGAGAGACTGGGTCTGTAATCTTATTGAAAAGAAAGATAATTTTTAGGTAACAATCTTAAGCAGGGTTTGCTTGAGGAAATGCCAGAAAGACTGATCAGTGATAGGAGGAGAGGAGGTCTGGGGTGGGGCAGGGGCGCTGGCCTGTGTGATGAAAGCCCCCTGGGTGAGGCAGATCTGAAGCAGAGGCCACAAATTCCAGAGGCTGCCTAGGCCGTGTAGCTGTCGGAGATGGATGAGACTGAGGCAGGGGTCTGCTTAATTAGGGAATAGAGCAGACTGCCTAAAGATAATCAAATTTACAAATATTAAACACACCAAATTTACAAATAAAAAACACATTTGCAATGTCTGGTGTGCGTGTGTGTGTGTGTGTGTGTTAGATACTGAACACTCTGAAGGTTTCAGCCCTGAATTTAGGGTAGGGATTGGAGCCTTATGGAGGAAGAGGGCATTGTGGGGGGCGGGGGAGGCCTGGAGGTCGAAATGAGGGCTTCCTGGGGGGAGAGCCATCAGAGAGGCAGAGTTCCTTCTAGTGAGCTGTGAGTGTTAATGGAGGGGAAAGATGGGGCCAGAACATGGGGTTCCAAACAAGGTAAGGCTGGGAGGAAGGTGGATAGAGGTCCTTCCAGTCATCTCTTCCCTCATATTCTTGCAGCTGGCCGAGAGTGACTTCGCTTCCACGTTCCGCCTGCTCACGGTGTTTGCTTATGGAACATATGCCGACTACTTAGGTAGGCAGAGGGGCTGGAGTTCTGGAGTAGTGAAGGTGGGAGAAGGGTGATTTCTGGAGGGACTCAGAGGAAATTCCTGGGGTATCCTACTTAGATCCCTTAGGTATACAGGGTCAGAGTCAAGACCTGAATTGGCATGGAAAACTTAAAAAACAAACAAATTGAAAGGGACAGAGGCTAGGCCTTCCCACAAAAGGGAAATCAGGATTTCCTACACTTTTGTCCTTTTTTCCAGCTGAAGCCCGGAATCTTCCCCCACTCACAGAGGCTCAGAAGAATAAGCTTCGGCACCTCTCTGTCGTTACCCTCGCTGCCAAAGTCAAAGTGAGTGACAGTCCCCCCAGCACCCTTTTGTTTGTCCTTTCATAAGGGCCCATCTGAAGGGAATTTGTACTGAGACAGCCTTTGAAACACTGTTGCCTCTTCCCACTTTCCTCCCAACATCCCTCTGAGATCTGCATCTGAACTCCATTACCTGTAGCCTTTTAGTTTGCTGTTTTGCTTTTATTTTTCAATCAACTTAAGTTCTAAATGAAACATGTTTTATGTTTGGGGTCAAAATAGCAACGAGGATGGCATTCACTGTGTTGTACAAGGTTCACCCTCCTCCTCACTGTAGAAGGTCCGAATGCAAACAGCCTCTGTGCTCGGAGCTGCAAACTAGGCTCTCTTCTGGGGAAGTGCTAGGCTTCAATTTGCTGGAATAAGAACTATATAACCCAGAAGTATTTCTGCATTGGCCATTAGGTTTGGTTTTTGTTAAACATCCCCCTCCTGTCCTGTGCACTCTCCCAGTCATTCGTAGACTTTCCCATAATTCATTCTGAGTTTACTTAAATCAGGCTGTCTATTCTGACAAACCCCTTTGGAAGGTCAACAGTAACTCCAGACCTCTCCCATACCACGTACTCCTGTTATGTCAGGCTGGTCTTAACCAAGGCCTGTGTGCTTCCCTGAGCTGCAGCCAAAGGCAGATGCCACTTTCTTCCTCTGTGATGTTGGAGCTAAGGGTAGTAGGAGAGCATAAGTCAATTATTTTGTTTACGATTGTCCTTCTCATGCTGTTATTTTTTAGGCTGTAATACTTGTATTTATTTCACTTTAGAACCAACCTTTTAGAGGCAATGATTTAGGAATAGGAGTGGAGGGGAGGCAGATGAGCCTAGGTGGGGAGGAGGAGGGAGGAAGAACCTTGGAAGCCCTTCTCTATGGCAGAACCTCACAAATCCCAGCCCGGCCTCCCGGGCCCCAGTGTATCCCATATGCAGTGTTGCTGGAGGCCCTTGCCCTGCGAAATGTGCGGCAGCTGGAAGACCTTGTCATTGAGGCCGTGTATGCCGATGTGCTTCGTGGCTCCCTGGACCAGCGCAATCAGCGGTTGGAGGTTGACTACAGCATTGGGCGGGACATCCAGCGCCAGGACCTCAGTGCCATCGCCCGAACCCTACAAGAGTGGTGAGACCTGTGTCCTGGCACTGTCCCTCCTCTTCTCACCCCAAGAAAGGGAGAGATGCTTTGGATGGGCTCACAGGGGTGAGGGATGGGCTACAGAGGTGAAATCCAAGAGGATGAAGGGAATTGAGCTCGTTCCTCCAAAGGCTTCTGAGGGGAGACAGGAGTGGAGGGGCTTGGGAGGCAAGAGAGAGGAGATGGTGTCCTTGGTGTAGTAATTGGGGGAGGGAATGGCAAGGGGTGCTCTTGAGAGGATCCTCACTGGGAAGTTGGTTACCTGTCTTAGGCTGGGTTCAGCCCCTTGGTCTGTAACTGTCCAAAGGCCCTGGGCCTCTTCCACTTCTGCTTTTCTCTTTGTGTCCTTGTTTAACTTTAGTTAATTAATACCTTCTTTCCCCTTTTTTAGCACCCCCTATCCCATTTTAGCTTTAGTTCCTACTTCCATCTTGCACATCGCTCCTGTCACTGCCTTATACCTCTCCTATCTTAGCAAGTGTCTTTCCAGCTCCTGGGAATATTGTTGCAGGTGGTTTTGCAGACGCCCTGGTGAAAGTTCCTAACTCAGACAAGGGTTTGCATATCAGAATCTAGGGTTCTTTCTGAGTCTATTTTTAGTGAGTCTGATTACGGCTCTCTTCTGCTGACACTTCTCTCTCCCAATTCCCACAGGTGTGTGGGCTGTGAGGTAGTGCTGTCAGGCATTGAGGAGCAGGTGAGCCGTGCCAACCAGCACAAGGAGCAGCAGCTGGGCCTGAAGCAGCAGATTGAGAGTGAGGTGAGCTGGCAGGGGAGCAAGACAGACCCAAGTTCCCCCAGCCTGGGCCAGTTTTCTGGTGCAGAGGGGTTTGGACAGCGGCTGTAGCAGACAGACAAGGTGGACAGGAACCTTCTCTGTTATTTCGCACTCCTTTCATCCCGATAGGTCGCCAACCTTAAGAAAACCATTAAAGTTACCACAGCAGCAGCAGCTGCAGCCACAACTCAGGACCCTGAGCAACACCTGACTGAACTGCGGGAACCAGCTGCTGGCACCAACCAGCGCCAGCCCAGCAAGAAAGCCTCAAAGGGCAAGGGGTGAGCCGATGTGGCAGGAATTGCTTGCTTCTGGGGTGCCTGCTTTTCCTTGGGAGAAACCTGGCTGCCTTCACTCCCTTTAGTCATTTGCAGGGGGGCAGGGAAATGGGGGGAGTCTTCAGGGGTTAGGGGATTCCTTGCAGCTTCTCTTTCTCTCTCCCCCTTGCCAGGCTCCGAGGGAGCGCCAAGATTTGGTCCAAGTCGAACTAAAGGGACTGTCATTTTTTCCCCTGGAGATAGGGGGTCCTAGCTGCCTGCCTGACCCTTAGGAGTCCTCAAAGAGCCTTCCTGTGCCCCTGGCCAGCTGATAATCTTAGGTTCATGACCTTTCACCTCTCTTCTCTCCCCTACCCCCAAGCATAGGTCACACCCACCTTCTTTAGGGGGGAGGCAAGTATAAGTCATGTTTTTGTTGGTACATTTTGTTTTCTGTGACTTTCTCATGTGTCCCATTGTCCCCCTCACCCTTCCTACCGTGCTCTCCCTCCTGTATTTTTAAGAGCCAGCATCTGTCCGTGTTTCTTCTATGTCATTGAATAGGTGGAGCTGCTGTGTCTCCAGTATAACCCATGTGGTCCTTATCTCACCACCCCACCCCTGCATGACTAATCCCCAATTCCTGCTCCCCACCCCCAGCCCATGTGGGCAGCATCTGCAGAGCCATAGGGCTTCCGCCTTCGTTCCCACCCTGAGAGTCCTTGGAGCCAGTCTGCCATTCTAGGAGTCACTGGACACTTTCATCCTAGAAATCGGTCACACTACAGTCCTGTCCTTCCCTCTCACCTCCCCTTGGGTCCTGGGAATGCTGCTGCCTCAGTGACCCCAGAGCCTAAGAAGGGCAGCTGTTTCTTGAGATGTCAAGAGATGGTTCTTTCTTGGCTCTGGCTATCTTGGAAAGCCTGATGGCAATCCTGGAAGGATTTATACTTCCTTTTGTGAGTTTTGTGGGGAAGGGAAGGGGATATAGATTGTATTAAAAAAAAAGCATATATGCATATATCTATATATAACATAATACAGAAATAAATCTATGAGAAATCTATATACAAACATGCCCTGAACTGGGTATCTTCTGTCTTTTTCTTTAGATTTTTTTTTATCCTCACCTGAGGATATTTTTATTGATGTGAGAGAGAGAGAGATTAAACCATCAGTATGAGAGAGAAACATTGATCAGTTGCCTCCTGTATGTTCCCCGACAGGGGATCGAACACACTCAGCCTTTTGGTATACAGGGTGACACGCCAACCAGCTGAGCCACCTGGCCAGGGCTCATTTGTCCTCGGTATTTGTGGATGGGAAGAAGGTTCATTCCAGTCCACTCTAAAGTGAAGTGCTGGAAAATGAAGAGAACCAGATACTAGCTGCTGAGTCTTGGGCTACCTGACTTTGAACAGATTGCTCAGTAGCTCAGCATTTATTCAGAAACAGGAGGTACTTCGTGAGCACCGGCGTGTGACAGGCCCCGGAGATGCAAAGTGAGGATCGCTGCCCCTGCTCCCCAGCAGCCGTGTTCAGCCTGCTTCCTTCCACCTTACAGAATTATAAGGGGAAGAATTGACAGGAAACTTCAGTTTTTGCGTCAGAACCACACAGACCTCTCAATTAACAGTAAGCAGCAGCAGTTAGGCAGAGCTTCCCCAGCACTGTGCTGAGAGGATTGGCCTTGGCCTAGTGAACTGCTGAGTACTCCTAGAACTGGGAAGTTGCAGTGTCAGGGACGGTTGGCACCCCCACACACACATTTGCATGTGAGGCAGTTGCCTCCTGAGGGCTCCAGTGTTGACTCAGCTGCTCTCCAGAACTTGTGCTGTTCTCTACTGGAGGAGGTTTGGGACAGACCACTCTTTACGGGTCCTCAGGTGCCAGTCATAGACCTAGAGAGGGGACAAGATCCTGACTCGGATTAAAGTGTCTGGGTAAGCTTATTGTCTTGAGGCAATGGAGACAATGAAACCAGTCCAATGAGGCCTATTTCAGGAGCTGCCACTCCTGGCTTCTCATTTTAGCTTTTCCCTAGACAAGCAAGTTGAGCTTGTATCTTGATTCTCAGTCTCTACCTCTGAAACCCTTTCTTGCCCCCACACTCTCTGATGCAGCAGTCCCCAGACTTTTTGGCACCAGGGAGTAGTTTCGTGGAAGACAACTTTTCCACAGATGAGAGGGTGTCGGGGGGTGCAGCGGGCTTGGGCAGCAGGTAGAGCTCAGGCAGTAATTAGAGCAGCGTCCACAGATGGGGAGGAGGGAGGTTGGGGACCCCTACTCTAATGTGTAGGAATTGCTCATTCCTTGTGCTTTAAACCTGTCTCCCCTCCCTTGCCCATGCCAGCTTTTCTCTTGAACTTAGTATCTTGTTTTCCTGCAAGCTGGTTCCAGCTAATGGCTCCATAACTTCCTGACCTCTCTAGTTCCATCCTTCACTGGGTGGCTCTAAAGTCTAGTGCGGGCTGGGCTTGTACTGCTTGGCCTAATGCCCAAAGATGGAGGAGGACCACTGACAGCCCCAAGGATGTGCAAATGTAATTTCTTTTTGACTTGAAGAGATGGGCTCTTGACCCAGACATGGAGAAGAGAGAGCCGAGTATTTGTAGGCTCAGTTTTTGAGCATGAAATTTGGTCCAGGATTTAGGGATTCCATGTATAACTAAGCCCAGGGTACCAGGAAAATCTTCCCAACCAAGAATCTTACCAGTGTTTGAAGCACACTCTCACAGGCTGACCCCTACCATACAGCAAACTTAGATGGCTGGAGGGCTGGACCACTACAGTAAAAGGAAGAGGAAGATAACTTGCTTTCATGAGAATTCAGAGTTTGTGCACATGAAACAGATGCCACCAAAAAGATAAACCAAAGTCGCTGAAGCTAAAAATCTGCCTTTGGACTGCTGCATATCTTTATGCACAAGAACAGGGACAATGTCTATAGTCAGTATTTCATGAAATGCTGCTAAAGAGAGAAGGTCCTCCACTTAGGCAAGTATAGGCAGTGTATTAGTTATTTATTGCCGTGTACGAATTATCCTAAACCTTAGTTGCTTAAAACAATATGCATTTATTAATTTAGTTTCTGTGTTTTGGGGCTGGGCACAACTGAGCTGAGTTTTCTTTAGGGTCTCTCCCAAGGCTACAACCAATGTTAGGACCATATTATTTCAAGGTTCCAATGAGAAAGACTTGTTTCCAAGCACACTCAATGATCCTTAGCAGAGTTCACTACCTCGTAGACTGAGGACCTCATTTCCAGCTTATTTGGTTAGAGGCCGACCAGGTGGCCCTCTCCTTCAGAGCAAGAGACCACATTGGCAAGGTGAACTAACAATCTCAATCTTTTGTAGCCTAACCACAGAAGAGACGTCCTATCACTTAATGCTCACTAGGTCCAGCCTAGCAACCATCAGAAGGCAAGGATCATTGGAAGCCATATCAGAAGGTTCCCACCACAGGCGGCGGGGCCACCAGCATTAGATCATAAGGAGCTTTTGAAAATGCGTATTCCTGAGCCTCACTCACCCCCGTTTCTTCCAAATTAGAATCTCCAGGATGTGGAGTGGAAATGTGCCTTTGTTGCCCTCATTGGCTCAGCTCTGAGTGGTGCAGTCCCATTTATAAAGCAGACTTGCCTAGATTAGTGCTGAAAAGTCTTCTACTGCAGGGCCTTGGAAGACAGGTAAGGAGGCCCAGGATCACCGTCTGGGAGAGAAGGGTGAGCAAAGGCAAAACTTGGAGTACAGGATGAGAGGACTTGCCCTGTCCTTTGAGGTTCTTACGTATATGGTTATATAACTAAGTGTGATAAGTGCTAAGAAGTAGAGGGTGACGTGAAAACATGAAACAAGCATCTGTACATGTTGCCTGGGATCAGGAAAGCCCCCAGGGAGTCACCTTTAGACTGAAACTAGAAGCACAAATTGCAGTTACCTGATAAAAGGGAACAAGGATGAGCATTTGGGGTGGGAGGAATAGTGGGGATGAAGGCTGGAGGCAGAAAGTTTTCATCCTGTGACCACCTGCCTCTCCCCTGACATGAAATGCGTAATTTGGAAGATGGGGCAGGGGATACAATACATTACATTAACTTACTCATTTGTCCATTTAATCAATTGATAAACATCTTGACTGAAAATCTGAGATAATACAAACCATAATGTTATACTTCTGGGCATGCGGTTGTGGATGATTTTTGTGTTTTTGCTTATCTCTATTTTCTGATTTGTGGTGATTGCTATTAATAAAAGCTGTCACCTATAAGTGCTTACTGTATAATTGAGCACTATTCTAAGTGCCTTATGTATACAAAGTCACTTAATTTACACAACCTTTTGAAATTGACACAATTATTGTCTGCTAACAAAGACAAAAGAGGTACAAAGTTTATGTACAGTAATTTGCCCAGGATCACATAAGTTATAAATGGAGAAGGCACACCCCACCCCGTCTCCCCCATGCTCCTGGACAGAACACATGGAGCAACTGAGATCTCAGACAAGTAAATGATAGGGAGAAAGAAACCAGAACTTAAAGTTCCACTAAATCAGTAGTGAGTTCACCGTTTTTCCTCCTCCAGTATCACCCAGAATGGACTCAAGGCAGCCAAAACCTAGAAATGGACATCAGCTGTGAACTCAAAGAGCTCCTCTTAGAGCCCTCTATTGCTGGTCTGAGGAACAGGAAGGGACTCGTAAGGGTCAGAGTGGGGAAACCCCGTTTTCTTTTCTCCCTTTCTCCCACCTCCAGCCCCAGGCATATACCATGGTGGTGGTGGTTACAGCAATGACAGCAAGAGTGGCTCGGCAGGCACTTAAAATTCTGACGAGACAAGTTGTGGCCCCGCAAGTGTGAGGCAAATCCCCTCTTTTTTTCTTTGTTCTCTTGAGGCTTGGCCCAAACACAGTGGGAAATGCCCAGCAGATTAGAGAAACTAAAGCCCCAACTTTTTGGTCAGAGGCCTCCGAAGGGAAGCTCCAGAGAACCAGAAAGCGTCAGAAGATCACAGGAGGAAAATCAAAAGGACAGTCCCGGAGAATTGTGTCAACTCCTGGGCTCACCTCTGAGTTGCACAAGCACGGATCTGACCCTAAACAGTTTAACCAAAGCTTTGTGAACTGAGCGACAGGCTGCACCACTGTCCACGTCTGCCTGGCCACTGAGTGGCACACATGCAGGCTGATCCACAACCTCCACAAACTGAAAATTAAACCAAGAGTGGAACCACAGTGAAGAGAAGGCAGGTTGCTGCCTGAACCAAACTGGTTAATTGCTTGTTAAAACAGGTAATATTCTTGCCCTAACTGGCATGGCTCAGTGGGTTGGGCATTGTCCCACAAAGCAACAGGTTGCTGGTTCGATTCCTGGTCAGTACACATGTCTGGGTTGCGGGCCAGGTCCCCAGTTGGCATGTGAGAGGCAACAGATTGATGT